TTTCAATTTTCACCATCAGAACTCCCTTTTTATGCAATAAAAACAATATATTCCAAGTTAGCATCGAAAATTGAGTCGAATGATATATGTTCGGAAAAGTTTCGTTGATTTTCATTTTTCGGTGAAAATCTCCGTGAATTTTTGACGTGAAAATCCGAAAAAGACAAAGGTGGTCAGATAGGATAAAAAGGTGCATCATTCGACTCAATTTTCGATGCTAACTTGGAATATATTGTTTTTATTGCATAAAAAGGGAGTTCTGATGGTGAAAATTGAAAAGTATAGGGAGAATTTCGACTTTTTTCCTCTGACTTAGGAAAAGTGAAATTTCTCAGCAATGGAGACAAATTTCAAAAAAGCGATACATACTCTTATTCTACGTTCCAAGGCGGTTCGAATGGCGCAGAATCAAGGCTCCATCTCTTTACAGAAAAAACCTGATAGGTTTGCGAGCGAATAGGATCGAAATCGGAGTCTCCCAAAGTATGACGAGAGATTGAACACTTCTTATGGCTCTCGAATCTTCTATGGCTCTTTTCAAAAAAAACGGACTCCTCTAATATTTTGAATTTGTTTCGTAGAAAACGTGCACTAGGCGGACTAAAAGGAAGATATTCGTGAGCAGCGTGAAAAACTGCATCGAATGGTGTATCTTTAAGCCAGAAATAAAATAGTGCTTTACGTTTGAATATCGCTTTTTTGGGAGCGCCTCAGTAGATTCTTCTGAATGTCGCTACTACACGTAACGTCGATATGATGAAATCATTTGGTGCATTAGTTTGTAAACTTTTATTGTTTTTATTTCCAGAATAAAAAAACAGGTGATCAATGTAAACAAAACAAAAAAGAAAAGACACACACATATTGCCAAAAAGAATCGACAACGGAAATTCACCAGAACAGCAGGAAGAACAAGAGCATTCAAAATATGACGAAAACCAAAAACAAAAGGATGCAAGAGCTAAATCTTATCATCATAAAATATAATCTAATTAAACATGTGAAATGAATGTCACAGAACATGACACTTTAACATCTGCTTTTCAACAATCACATTGATAGTAAAAACTAACGATAAACTGACAAAAGGAAAAGGATGAAACGTGTGTACAGCTCGAACATTGCATAACAAAAACAAAACAAAAAAAACAATAATAAATAATTCTGAAGGTAATTAAAATGAAAACAAAGAAACAAAAATTTTACTTTTCTATACAGAATGTTTTTGTTTGTTTATTTCGTTTAGAAAGGAGAAGAGAATAAAACAAAACAAAACAAAAATAGAAGTATAATTAAAAAGATGAAATAAACTAAAATATTCAATGGAATAATTTTTCTAAACGAAATTATAAAACAGAATCAGTCGATTGTACCAACCATAGAAAAAATAAAACTTCTACAACTGGACTCTTTGTGTTAGAAATTTTACATTAAAAAAAAAGAAGTAGACTAAATCGTTGTATATGCAACAAAAATTTTGTTTGTGTTTTTTTTCTTTCTATTTCCATTTTGAATATTTTAGTTTCATATTAAAAAAAGTTCTTTTATCAAATTATTCCCTTTCCTTTTTTGTGTTTTTTTTGTTTTTGTTTTCATTATTTACAACAACTGTTTATTTTTTTGTTTTCTTTATTCATTCTTTCTGTTGTCTGCTTTAAAAGTGTTTTCCTCAAAATATGAATATCATTATTTTCACTGGAATTTTTATTCATTTCTGCGTATGTGTCTAACGTGTGTAACAAGTTTTCTCTTCTTTTCCAAGACAAAAAATAAGAACAGAGTTTGATTTGTTGTTTTAGCAAATAAAAACATTATAGATATTGAAACAAGAGTATGTATATAAAATGAAATAAATTAAATTCATGCTCTCAGAAAGCTATCAAAATTCAACTAAACTAAACTGTCTCGGAAAATACGGGAACTCTCTCATCCAAATATTTAGGAGTCAGATCTATGCTTTTATCTTTATAGTAAAGTTATTATTCTGTTACTCTGGTTGAGGTTTGAAAACACGCTCGCTTTCACTCCAATATTTAGTAGTCTCTCTTTTGTAGTAAATTGTCATTTTGGTAGGGTGACTAACAGGTTCAGAAAGAGGAATTACTGATTGTACATGTATCGGAGCATTTGCATCATATTTACCTCCACTGTCTTTCTGACTACAGAGAATAAACCGTAAGCCATTAATGGGTACATGCTCGGTGCCTTTAAGACACCTAGGTTATAACTATTCATATGTGCCGGTCCATCGGTAGGTGAGGGTACTGCAGAAGATGTTACAACTACTTTTTGTACATCGTCAGTTAATTCCTGTAAAATAGGATGTGTATCGGTAGTGTATTCTGTTATAGTAGGATCAGCGCTCATCATCCCTTCAAAAGACTGATCCATATTAATCGATTTCTCAAACGTTGTATGTTGTCCTTTCGCAGAATGATCGATATTTTTATCTTCGGTATGATGTCTAGCATGTCCCGGTGCTTTACTCAGATAAGGCTTTTTCCCTTCCGAATTATCTATAGTTTTTTTTGCAGTTTCCTTTGTATATGTTGGACATCCTCCCATAATTAATGCATCTTTTTTGTATTGCTCTAATCTTTTAATATCATCAGCTTGATTAGCAAGATTTTCCTTGTCATTTTCCATCATGCTAGCGGTATCTTTTCTTAATTCAATGGGCTTCTTTCCTGTTTGTTCTGCGATAACATTAAATAAACAATTATTTTTTCCGGTATTATATTCAACTGGTTCTTTTCTTCCACGCCAAGTCCAATGTCCTGATGGATTATTTTCATTTGGTTTATGATATTCAACTTCAAGTGGTTTACCTCCTTTATCTTCACCAATAATACATACGAGTTGTCCGTTTTCATCTAAAACTCTAATTGGTCTATCTGTGGCATCACTTAATGGACCTAATTGAGGTAATCCAGCTTCACCACCAGTTTTTATATTTTCAATCATTTGATTTGCTTTAGCTAAAGCTGCTTTATCTTTCATACCATTTTTATGTTCTTTTCCAATTCGATTATCTTTATCTTTATTTTGAAAAAATTCTGTTCGTCTTAGTGCTTTTAAATTATTCATTTTATCATTAAGTTCTTTATCAATTCCTGCTGTTAATTTTTTCATTCCACAATCAATTCCAGTTTGACTAACAGGTTTAATTAATTTATGTTGTATAATATTGCATATATTTACTGATACACTCGTTGCTAATATTTTACATAAAACATCTGAAGATTTACTATTTCGTTCCAATTTTATTTGTTCTTGTTCTTTAACATTTTTAATATTAATGTCTTCACTTGATGTTTCTTGAATATGATTTGATAAATTAATTTGATTATTTTCTTGTATTTTATTTTCTTGTTTTTTGAACAAAATATTTTGCTGATCTACTGTCTGGTGCACAGTGGGCATTTTTTGCTAGAGCAGGCGGACTTTAGCTTTATGAGTGAACTAAAATTTCATGAACCATTTTTTTATAGGTTTTTCATGATCCTCTTTCTAATGTCATGAGAGTTGGGTTTTGAAAAAGTTTTCTAAGGAGTTTTCCAGAGATCCAGTCTATGGAAAACCTTTCAGAAAACTTTCTCAATATTTAAAAATGATGCCACTGGAAAGAGCATTGTCGAAAACCT